ACACAATATTCAAGTAAACAGCGTAATTACACTGTCCAAAAACGAACAGAAAATATAGAAAGCTGAGTCAATGAAAGACCGTTGCCTGGATGATGAATAGATTAAATAAATAGCCAGGCCCCTCCACATTGGACATGAATTTGACAAGAGGAGAAACTATATAACCATTATCTCTGATCAGCAGCATATAATTACTGTGTTTTAAAACAGTGTAGCATTGGATACAGCTTTCATATCGAAACAACAACCACTGTTTTGTGCATGAAATGATTACAATCTATAGTAATGCCAGTAATTTGGATAATTAGAAGATTCTGCCAAAACACTTCATGTGAAAAACCTGACCTCAGTCCCTGCCATGATGAATTTTAATGGAGCACCATATTTTATACTTTAGTATCATGCATACAAAATCAACAAGGTGTAATAACATTTGCACCCCAAATCAAATACCAGTAGTGATGCCCTGTTCTCAATAAGACCCATTGATATTTCACGGCATCAGTGGCTGAATACTGATCCCTGCTTCACAGGAAGACTATCATCAGGGCTCATGAGTCTGAGGAAAGTCTCAGAGAATTAGTGTCACTGCTTCGTCAAAGATCTTCATCAGCAATTCCATGGTAGGTGGATTTTCGGTGTTAGTCTACAAAGGTGGAGATACATCAACCAGAATACTTGATAGAAACCGCCCTCAGGCACATCCTCAAGTCAACTCACACTGAAGGATCAGGCATGAAATGTGAAAGCATTTGAAATGGTTTAACCAGACATAATTACTGAAGACAAGCAAATTATCAGACATTTGCTAACAGTCTAAAAGTAACACTATGAAAACAATAAAATCATTATTTTCTTTCAGATGATCGGCGTTATGCTGATGTGGTGAAGCACTTAACTCCATCTTCACTCCAGTTAAGTAATGATCCATGTTGTACTCAACACAAAGAAACTAACACATATCAATACTCATTTTGACAATCCTTGTTTAACGTGTTTATAGTCAGATATCCAATAACTCATTTCATGCTGTATTGCTTTCTTTCGTCACATTGCCAAAAGTATGTTCACCTTCTCGTCTGAACTTGTCCAACAGAATGATGAATTGTAATAAGAAATGCAATAGCATATCAACAGGACTAAGTAAGCGGTCGATGGTAGACGGAACAAAGTCAACTTCTCACCAGTCCCCTGATAGGCAAATGAAGAGAAGCTGACTACTTGAACTGACTGATAAACAAGAGACAGAGGCCATATATGGTCTTCAATGAGACAGTGTGTTTTGCAGTGGTAGATGTCATGGCTATGGTGGCATAGAAGCTTGTAACGCAAAAAACTAGCGTCAAAGTATATATCTTAATATTAAAATAGACCTTGTCAGTGACAGTATATCATTTGATGCTAGTTTTTGTGTTACAAGCATCTGTGTATGGAAGAGACTTATACAGTCACTTCATACTTTGCAACAGCTGTCAGACATGGCAAACCCTCCCTCATGTTTATTGTTTTCCAATTATTGTTATTTATTGATTCTAAGAAAAACTTGTTATTTTGTGCATTGTTACAGTGATGTAAAGTACTGATACTCAAATGCAGCATTCATTACTCTCTATATATTACACATTCTTCATGTAATTTGTTCAGCTGAAAATTATGAACATTTTCAGAAATGATCACAATTTCTTTAGGTATTTGTTTACAATATTAATTAAAAGATTTGTTATTTTGTGTCCGGGCTCCAACGCCTTCCATGCTTGGTATATTTACCAGAAAAATAAATACCACCACTGTACATAATTACCACAGAAAAATGAAAAAAAGGTTAAAAAAGACGTTTTTTGTAATTATACTTAGTGACTTTTGTTTTACTCCGCTGTTAGCAATATTCCAGCAGTATCACGGCTTCACACATTGTACTCATGTGGGGAATCGAACTTGGGTCTGACAAGCGATTGCTTTAACCACTAGATTACCCTCACCACCCCTTTTGTAATTATAGTTTATTTTAGTTATAGTATCCTAATTGGAAAACATTATTGTGTTATATCACATTCCTTCCTAGCTTCTCTTTTACCCTTTTTATAAATCGGTGTTATTTGTCTACGGTGGTTAACTCATGGGCATAACACATGTCTGAGAAGACCTCCACCCCTCTGGCCGACTTGTTCTGATACTGATACATCTTTGTTACCTCCCCTGAGATTAAACATATTAAATGCAATGTCCTTCTATTAAGGTATGGAACAAGTGGAACACACTTATATTCCATGATACAATCCCCCACACACTTTGTGAGAGGATTTCAGTGACAATAGGACGTGACTGACTGTCCATACTCTCTGCTTATTAGTCAATTATCATGGCCAGCCTTTATGCCGGCCTCCTGACAACATAAATCTGTTTAATGATGAACACAACAAATGACACCAATTAATGTGTTAGGTTTCTTTGAACTTTTCCACAGTTCACCCTAAATGTAAAGTGTAAATGATGGGTGGTATTACGACCTTCTGAAAATGGCTTGCACTGCCCCCCTTGTGAACCATCCCAGCAAACTGTCCACATTACTGCCTTCACCATGCTCATCAACTTGTTAATCTTTCAACATTACATTCACACAGGATTAAAGAAGAAATGATTATTTTTCTGCACCATGGACACCAACTCAATTTCCTGAGAATTTTCAGAATATTTACAACTGACATACTGGAATGCTACTTCATTGCAGGATGCTTTTCGTTACGTATGGAGTTGAATGCATGGTTTAAGGAGTGTATAAAGCTAAACATTCCATTACCATGATTATCAACCAGATGGTTATGCTAGCTTGGTGGTGAATATTATGCCCCCCATTTCAAAAGGTTTTAAGAGGTTACAGGTCTCTTATAACTCAATATTATGTGAAGTTACTGTAATGACCGTACTTCAGTGATTGAATTTCCTCAGCTTACAGATTCTCATCAGCATTAGCATGATATTCTTAGGCTACCAGTTTCTCCTGTGCTTCTCAGTCCAATGCCAAAGCATTCTTTCAGAAGCTGGTATCAACCTGTCTGGATAGGATAATATCTTGCTATGTATAACAATGCATGAAGGAAATTTTGCAAACGGAATTTGGTTCATTATTGTTGGGAGTGGTGCTATTTTCAGTAGTTTTAACTCCAACCATAGAAGGATATCCATAACCAGCTTCTGAGAACTTCCCAGTCAACATATTATATAAAGCCCAACCATGCTGGAGAAACATCTTTTACACTTAAGCCGCTGAGTGCAGTGGTCTTGCTTTATGATTATGTGTTTTTAACAAAGGGAAGTCTTCTATGCTTATGGACAAGTGGGCTTACCTGGAAGTTAGTGAGTTACCGGTAGTCATCTTTGATCACATGCAACAGTTATTTACTGATATGAATATGTCAGTTTGACCATGGACATCTATAGCCATACACAAGGTATGACCCTTGTGCTTGCATGATGAATCATATGTGGGTCTTGCCCATGTACAGCATATCACTATCAGTCACAAACAAGGAAGGGTATTGTTTATCTCTGGTCAAGAATACCTATCATCAGATCATCATATATATTTTGTTTAATTGTGACATTTGCATTGATGGGTCATTGACTTACAAGAATCAAAACAAGGGCATTTTATATACGAACCTGTTTAAGGATACTTGGAGGACTGAACCATAACACACAAGAGACAAGGAAGAGCTATAACCATTGAGCCACCCACCACAGCTAAATGTATGCATTATCTACATGGGTAGGCACAAAGAGGCCTGTCTGTATGATACTTACTCGGTAGATAGATTTTATGATGTAGGTTTATGTCAATGTAAGTGGTGAAGTGGTGTAGCAACAATACTCCTACTGCTGTGTAGCTTAATGAGCTGGACACTTCCTTGTAAGAGCTACTGGACTGTAATCCTGTCTTCAACAAGCACGAAAGGCAATTTTACACACTATAAAAAGGAAGATTTCACATAACCTTTAGGTACCAGTACATATGAATACGCTAAATTAAGTAGTCATTATTTCACTGAGTACCACTATCTCATTTCCAAATATCAGCTATACAATTTCTGTACTGCTAAGAAGATGTATATTTAATCTGAATCACTCGGTCTAGTACAACCACACAACCAAAAACATACAGATATCCTCAGACTTAATTATGAATTATTGATTACAAATTATGGTCATCTGCATTTCAAGTCAGTCTCTCTTTCTCTCACTGTCTAAACTTGCTGATTAAAGTATTGAAATCATGGTAATCATCCTCTCTGACATCAAGCTCTTGGTGGATGCCACGTCCAATTTCTGTGAGCAGAAATCTTCAGCTTTAGCTCGTTACAACCTAACCATCAAAACAATTATGCAATAATCGGACTGAGAGGTATTATATATGGTACAGCCAGTTGTTCTTTTGTGACAGCTGTTGCCCTCTCAGCCTTATCTGCAGACACTTCTCTTTATTAGTTGAATAACAAGTAACCTGCACACTTGAATGTATTACATAGTTTAAACAACTACACACCCTTAAACACCAGCGCGTTACACAGTACACTGCTAACAAGCTCTTCAATAAGTAATAATTATGAACTTTTTCAATATTAATCATGAACAAATGTCAAATAAGGGGACCAGTCAATACCATTAATATCCAATACGTACAGCAATAACTAAAAATAATAAGTTATTACAGCATATTGGTGAATCACTTGTTACATGCTATTGTTTGTGGAATGTCTTGAACTATAGCGTGGTGGAAACCACTGATGATCTAGCTATATAGCCTAGGTCAATACCCGTGTATTTCCGTACTTACTAAACAAATAACACCATTGCAATTTCTTACGTCAAACACGATGAAGATGAAACACATATGTATATTGGTGTTTAGCACCTGCTTGTACGTGTGATCACCCAATCAGACCCTGAACATATCTGGAAAAATATAGGACAATTATCACATACTGCCATGGGCCTTCTCTTACCTTGTGAAAGAGTTGTTGAAGTGAAAATGGCCAACACAGTAAAAGCCAGTTTCACAAACAGTAAGTGTGACTTCTTCCATGTGTATCCGTTGTTTAGTGTATAACTCCATCCTTCTGTCTTCATCTTCCCAATTTACATCATCCCCCGTTTGTTTGGGATTTCAACGACACAAGCTCGATTCAACACTGTTGATTTGATTAGCCGAGGACAGACGAGATATGCAACGCGATCCTGTCCAATGCAACCGGGCTCTCTGGCTTCAAGACACTCGATAGAAAGCAGCCAATATATGAGCAACAGACAGTTGGCTCTGCTAGTGCTTACTGGACTATTTCACTGTGAATCGTATCAACTAATCCGAATATACAACAGTTGTAATCGGGTTCAACAAGTTTGATCGGAAGTTTACACCGACGCCATGATGTGATCGTCACTGAATGGTGTCACCAGACGACCTATTACCTGTCACGGGTGATCATTCCTGCCTGCTTAATATGTTTCGTTACCTGATGAAGAAATACACATATAATCCAATAATTCCTTCCAAAATGAAATGTTGATCTTGTGTTTCAACGCCAATGTTCACAGGTTAATTACACACGGCAGGTACTCGTGCTTTGTGTTCGAATACAATAAGTCACGTGACACCTACACCGCTTCTGATTGGCTAGTGTCTCAGGTAAAAGGGGAGTGGTTAAAGTGGAGGTATACACAGTGAAATACCAGTGCAGTGACGTGTAGAGCAACACTCATTTCATTTACCGCTTATGTCAAAGGCGTTTAAAGAATCTGGAGCGGATGACATATACGTTCTGTCAAGCAAATCTATAGCTTCAAGGTACTCTGATCGTTTTGGTATTCTTTTGTGACACACCTCACAGATCGGCAATCGTACCCCATTAAGTGAGATATTTTTGTTAATTCGTAGTGTTTTGCAAAATCATTACGCAACATAACAAACATGCTTATGTTTTAATGATTTTCAGACATCGATATTTGCTCTATTGCTGTTTCCATTTGATCATTTGTATGTTGATTTTTTTTGTGAAACATGAATGAAATACATTTCATATACAATTATGTACATAAAATCATTCACAATTAGGTTTGCCGTCTAATTCGCTTGAGATTCCACATTCACACGAGCACATTTGCACATATTTTGGTCTGCGTTATTCGTTGTGAATTGACAGCGCTACAATTTGTAGCGGTGTGTGTACGTTCTGTATTTGTTTAATGTCATTGACATTTGCTCCCTTCAGAAAGTATCCCACAACAAATGTCACGGCGGATAATGCCTCCCACGTGTTAAATCAAGGAATCTATCTTATGAAGACCTCCCGGTTAAATATATCACCTGTGTATCACCTATCAGCAATTGTCCACGGTGCGGTATCGTGATACCCACTCACACACCTAAAGCCTGTATACGTACCCCATATACACGACGAAAGCCTATACACATAAGACACTAGCCTTGCTCCAAGGCTGTACTGAATGCTAAGCCCATGGATGTACAGTCATCCTACCCTTTAAAGAGCCCAATCAAGATAAGGGGACAGCACATCCAAGAACGCCAGTCTGATAGAGGTATATTTATATTTTTTAGAAATTATCATTTGAACTATTAATTATTACATTAGAGACTTGTGCAAGTCTAATAAGACACCTCCGTGGCATTGTAAATCTCCGAGTTTCCCATCGGACGTTTACAGGTGGCAATATATGCAAAGTACAATGGTAATCAGAACCATAAAGAAAGACTCATTTAGACTTAAGCTGTTATACAGCACACCATGGAGATTAGGTATCCTATTACCTTATTTTATCAGGCGCCATAACACACGGCGTATTTACATATATGGCATATTCATAACCAGGCCATTAGTGTTTAACTTTACTATCTATTCAAGCGATCGTTGATATCATTATGTCTTATTTACCTATCGATATTCTTTTCTCAAGGGATCTGATATCGCGTCTTTTTATTTAATTTAAGAAATTCCCATAAAATGTCAAAGTGTCAAATTTACATTATAAGTCTGGGAGATCGTACATTGTCAGAATAATTTGCACGATTATATTGTGAAGCATCCCAAATGTGACACACGCATATATCTGTAGGCGTAATTGCCTGTCGGGTAATGGAATCCTGGTATCTAACGCTGCTCTAATCCCTAAGGTCCATATGACATTGTCGGTACGCATTTGGCTTTGATTTGAACTTCGAATTGCCACTTGAATAAAGCTACGTCCATATTTTCTTGTTGCTAGGGTGCAGTGGGAGCCCCGAGCGTTAGTTTAGTCGATAGTATGGGCTCCAGGCTGTATTGTTTAGGCCCACACACAATAGCACCGCGGCAACCATTTCTTCTTATCATTTACGGTGTCTGTTTTCTGCCGAGAATTCTTGCTATGGGGAAATGTCAAAGGGGACAGGGAAGGGGATACAGGGGGCAGGCGAGAGGTAAAGAGACACAGGGTTCGACTGATAACACAGTCTCGCAATGTCCTCGTGTACGTCGGTAGTGGCAAAGCGAGACAACATGCGATTTGCCGCCATTAACACCGAGTGTCTGTCTGTACTGTTGTCTATATCACGTGTACATATCTAACAGCTGGTGGCATGTTACAGGTGTGGTCGGTCTATATTGATACAGTTAGGGTGAAGATATGGTCAGGATATCTCTGTACATATAGTGAAATTAACTTTCAAATATTCTGTTTTCGCTTCGCTTGTGAATATTTTCATCCCAATTTGTAAAAAGTGAATGTAATATTTCCATCCCAATTTGTAAAAAGTGAACGTAATAAAATCAATAATTGTTCCAAACATTGCTAGTGTCGAAGTACAATGGGTGAGTGCGTAAATGAGCTGCAGTCAGTTTGGTACATTACATATATACACGGGCTGTAAATATTTACGTAGCATATTGATTTCAACATGTTTTATTGACATCCCATCTGAACTGGGAAAATTATTCAACTCGCTTCCAGGTCCCGGTACCCAGGAATACATCATATATTCGCGCATAATCATAATTTCGTAGTTTGGGCTCAGCTTTTCGAGGTATGATGACACAGTCACTGAGATCACATTTTGTACCCGACCCTTACTCTGACCAGAGACCATATACTGGTATATGGTCTCTGCTCTGACGGAAAGAGTTCTGGGACTTACGTTGACCCGGTGAGAGAAGTATGGGATACTGGGGACCAATACCGGAATGTCCACGGTTACTGGGGACCAATCCTGTACCTGATTCCAAATGGGAGACATGTACATGATGTACTGGGGACCGATCCTGTTCCGGATTCCAACCGCGAGAAATGCATATGGTGTACCGGGGACCAAGCCGCCCCGTATTCCAACAAGGACACATGCATCTAGTGTACTACGACCAGCCCTACCACGGCTTCCAAGGAGACATGCATCTAGTGTACTGGAACCAGCCCTACCACGGCTTCCAACAAGGAGACATGCATCTAGTGTACTACGACCAGCCCTACCACGGCTTCCAACAAGGACACATGCATCTAGTGTACTGGGACCGGCCCTACCACGGCTTCCAACAGGGAGACATGCATCTAGTGTACTGGGACCGGCCCTGCCTCGACTTCCAACAAGGACACATGCATCTAGTGTACTACGACCAGCCCTACCACGGCTTCCAACAAGGAGACATACATCTGGTGTACTACGACCAGCCCTGCCTCAGCTTTAAATAAGGAGACATACATCTGGTGTACTGGGACCGGCCCTACCACGGCTTCCAACAAGGAGACATGCATCTAGTGTACTGAGGCCGGCCCTACCACGGCTTCCGACAAGGAGACATATATCTAGTGTACTACGACCGGCCCTACCACGGCTTCCAACAAGGAGACATGCATCTAGTGTACTGGGGCCGGCCCTACCACGGCTTCCAACAAGGAGACATGCATCTAGTGTACTGGGACCGGCCCTAACATGGCTTCCAACAAGGAGACATACATCTGGTGTACTGGGACCGGCCCTGCCTCAGCTTTAAATAAGGAGACATACATCTGGTGTACTGGGACCGGTCCTGCCTCAGCCTCCAACAAGGAGACATTCATCTGGTGTACTGAGACCGGTCCTTCCTCGGCTTCTAACAAGGATACATAATCTGGTGTACTGGGACCGGTCCTGCCCTCGGCTTCCAACAAGGAGATGCATCTGGTGTACTGGGCACCGGCCCTGCCTCGGCCTCCAACAAGGAGACATGCATCTGGTGTACTGGGACCGGTCCTGCCTCGGCTTCCAACAAGGAGACATGCATCTAGTGTACTGGGGACCGGTCTTGCCTCGGCCTCCATGCATTTGGTGTACTGGGACCGAACCTGCCTCGGCTTCCAACAAGGAGACATGCATCTGGTGTACTGGGGACAGGTCCTGCCTCGGCCTCCAACAAGGAGACATGCATCTGGTGTACTGGGGACCGGCCCTGCCTCGGCCTCCATGCATCTGGTGTACTGGGGGACCGGCCCTGCCTCGTCCTCCAACAAGGAGACATGCATCTAGTGTACTGGGGACCGGCCCTGCCTCGGCCTCCAACAAGGAGACATGCATCTGGTGTACTGGGACCCACCCTGCCTCGGCCTCCAACAAGGAGACATGCATCTAGTGTACTGGGGACCGGCCCTGCCTCGGCCTCCATGCATCTGGTGTACTGGGACCGGCCCTACCACGGCTTCCAACAAGGAGACATGCATCTAGTGTACTGAGGCCGGCCCTACCACGGTTTCCGACAAGGAGACATATATCTAGTGTACTACGACCGGCCCTACCACGGCTTCCAACAAGGAGACATGCATCTAGTGTACTGGGGCCGGCCCTACCACGGCTTCCAACAAGGAGACATGCATCTAGTGTACTGGGACCGGCCCTAACACGGCTTCCGACAAGGATTTCAACATGTTTTATTGACATCCCATCTGAACTGGGAAAATTATTCAACTCGCTTCCAGGTCCCGGTACCCAGGAATACATCATATATTCGCGCATAATCATATTTTCGTAGTTTGGGCTCAGCTTTTCGAGGTATGATGACACAGTCACTGAGATCACATTTTGTACCCGACCCTTACTCTGACCAGAGACCATATACTGGTATATGGTCTCTGCTCTGACGGAAAGAGTTCTGGGACTTACGTTGACCCGGTGAGAGAAGTATGGGATACTGGGGACCAATACCGGAATGTCCACGGTTACTGGGGACCAATCCTGTACCTGATTCCAAATGGGAGACATGTACATGATGTACTGGGGACCGATCCTGTTCCGGATTCCAACGGCGAGAAATGCATATGGTGTACCGGGGACCAAGCCGCCCCGTATTCCAACAAGGACACATGCATTTAGTGTACTACGACCAGCCCTACCACGGCTTCAAAGGAGACATGCATCTAGTGTACTGGAACCAGCCCTACCACGGCTTCCAACAAGGAGACATGCATCTAGTGTACTACGACCAGCCCTACCACGGCTTCCAACAAGGACACATGCATCTAGTGTACTGGGACCGGCCCTACCACGGCTTCCAACAGGGAGACATGCATCTAGTGTACTGGGACCGGCCCTGCCTCGACTTCCAACAAGGACACATGCATCTAGTGTAC